AGAGGGAACAGACAGGAATACATTCTGCCACCTGATAAATCAAAAGCCTGAGCCTGAAAGTCGGACATTTGGCGACTGCTAGTGGTGCTATGCTCTGCAGTGTCCAAGGGATGCCTGACAGTTAAAGTAACTGTTTAGACTATTCAAAACAAAAAATTAATATAACAACGTCCAGGAACATATCTCAGCATACCATCTTCAAATCAGCCAAACGCTTACAAAAAACCAAGGTGGTTTATTCTATTTTAGCAACTATGAACTTCCTAAATGACTGAGAATGCTATAAATATCTCTAACCTGCTACAACAAATGCCTATATGCACACACAAAAATCAGATGCAATTTCCACTTTTCCAGATATTACATTCCTAAGAATAAGGAATGCCATAAAATCCTTTTTTCACACTCTCAAAGGAAAATATAATTAATACATTTTATGTTGATTTGAACATCAGGATCCCATGTATACTGGAATATTAATGTAAGACTGAAAAAACACAAAGGTAGAGTTTGCCCAAAGTGTACCTACACTTCCAGATCTTCCAGTTGCTTGGATTTCAGCTGTTAAGTTTACACAAATTGATTTTAATATTTCAATAATGCTGTTCTGGAAAATTTGTATTGTAATTAAAACTAGATGAGATGAAATCTTTACAGGATTTTTTGTTGGTTTTCTTTTTTTTTCTTCTTTTTAAACTTTATCAGGAAAAGACAGTATGTCAAATTTCTCTTTCTCTTTCAGCAGAAACAAAGGAAAACAGTTTTGGTGTTGACATATCTTCTAATATTGTTCCAAAAATTCTCAATTCCCTGGTTTACGTAAGATTAATATATATTAAATCTGTGAAATAATGTATTCTAGGAGTTCACAGTTTTTCTCAAAAATGAAAAGTCTTACCTTTTAAATAATTTCTGCAAAGGGATACTGCAAGTCAGGCATTACATCTGCAGTTTGCAGTTACATTTTTTCAGGGAATTCCAGTCCTAGCTGACTGTTAAGCTCCTGTGCCTGACAACACTCTTCCATTCACTGCGCCACTGTCCCTAAATACTGTGGATTTTTTTTTTCTTGCTCCTTTTGGGAGCTTCCTTATCCTCAAGCAATACTCAGAAAATATGCCACTAGAAACCACAGACTGAAACTAGATCAGTCTCTCCAAGATCTCTTGAGAAAAATCAAAAACAAAACAAAACAAAACAAATCAAATAAACTAATGATGCAGGTCAAACCAGACAAGTGAGAGAACAGACACAAAAAGGAAAAATTAGTTAAAATCTAGATTTCTACATCCTACAAGATATCCTTCAATAGCCTCAGGATTCTGAATATGGGCAATAATAATCATTGGGACTTGGCAAAAGACAGAGGGCTACAGGAGGTGGGAAAAGAATGGGCTGGTATCTTTATGATAAACTAAACATTTGGCCTGGGGAGAAAGTTAGGTCCTACAGAAGTAATAAAAAAAAAAAAAATAAATCCACTAAACGGTATCAGAAAGAGGAATTTATAATTAAAAACTACCTCAACCTTTACCATCTGTTAACCTTTCTAACAGACTGATCATCCAAAAGTCATTTTAAAATAACTTTAGAATGACCATTAGAATATGTTCACAGGCTTAAATGGATAAAAGCAAAGACTATGAAAAACAAAATGTAAATTCCACAATGACATATTCTGCTGATCTCACATACACAGTAACTGCAAACTGTACTTGGTGAAAAATAAATTCATCCACTAGAATCCAACCTCTCACACCCTAAAAATACCCCTACAACTTAGAATATAGGTCCTCAAATGACTCACCTTTTCATGGCCCAGCCAGGGAAGGGCAGAATGATGCATTTAGGCCTAAAAGTACCTCTACTACTCTGTTTGCAGAGGTCTGTATTTCATTAAATGGAAACTACCCTGTGTGAAAGAGACTTGCAAGCTATAGATAATCTTTCACACACTAGGCCCTTAAGTGGGAACTTTTCTGGGCACCCACAAGACTACAATTTAACAGAGGAAACAATACAATTTTTTTCTCTGTGTTTGCAATTGTCCTTAGATTCCAGTATAAAGGATCTTGCCTTCCTTGAGGATTTCAAGATCATATGTTGCCCTGGAAGAAAATACAACTTGCCTTTTCTGGATAGCTCCTGTTATCTTAGAGCTCTCCCGAAACACTGACTTGCTGGAGACTTGAAGAGACTTCTCATTTGCGGGAGCAGAGCTATGGTACAGCATGGAGAAAAAACATGCAAAACTACAACTGGGTAAACTAAAGGTGAGCACTTTCCCTGTCTTGAGCAGGAGAAGAGATTAAAGTTGGCTTCACTACTACTTACTTCAAATACCTTAAGTACTATACTAAAAAATCTTTTCTGCAGGAAGTGTAAACCCTCACACCCTGCTCTTTTGGTCTCTGGTTTGGTATACTCCACATGGAAGATGCTGTCTGTTCATGGGCAGGAGTGAAGAGGAGGTAAGAGCTATACTTTACAGAGATTTCTCCATTTCTGGTGAAACTGAGGGTTTCACAGAACAAACTTAACAGAGGTGGTCTGATACAAATGATTGCTGCCTCACTAGAAGACAGATGAAGTAACTGGGTTCCTAATGGACAGGAGGAATAGCTGGTGGAAGTGGGAGGGGGACAAAAAACCCTAGCATCAAATGGTGACAGAATAACCTTCATCTACTTAAGAAAGTGCAGCAATTCAAACTTCCAAATGAAGGACCCCCTGCAGAAAACCATGTTTTAATCATCCAAATGCCAGGCCTCCTGGCAATTAAGAAAAAAGAACTTTCTATTTTCAAGCATTTTGTTTAAATACGTCATGTTCATGTTTTCCGTATTTTTTTAAAGCCTCCTCTCTTCCCCTCCAAAACGACTGTACTGCATGGAAAAGAAAATGCCACACTGCTGGGGGGCGAGGTGGGGGGAGAACGAAAGTTTGAGTCCCTTTCAGAGGCTTTTATTTTAGACTCCAGCATACTGACTGACAGTGCTGAAATCTTCTTCCTTGTT